TTTATAAGCTGAGGTTATCCACCTTAAAATTACACAAATCACACGCACACAGGTATGTATGTATATCACTCTGACATCTCATATACATATCTACACATGTACGCAATTTCAAGAACATGTTTGGTTCTATGGACACAAATGCCCACAGATCAAATCATGCAAAAAAAGAAGTTAAAAACATTCTGAAACGTCCAGGGCTTAATTTGCAGATGCACCAAAAAAATTCCTCTGAAATGGGAGACTCATTCATTACTTCTTTAAATTTTCTCGAGAAGATTTTGAATCTGCATTAAATGAAAGAGTATCTTGCATGAGTTCATGAAAGAAAAACATTGTAACTTAAGAGATTTTATCGTTGTGTCTTAATTACCTATACTTGGAAGAAGATTTTGCAAGAGCTTGAATGATGAAGGTTGGATCATATCTCGAGAACTATGACTGTAATCAAAAGAAAATAGAATCAGTCGTTTGTTTTTGAGTTTTACTAAAAAAATAATGAGGATCTGATGAAAACTCACAATCAGAATCTGTTTTGACCCATTTATATCCATCGCTACTACTTCTTCTTTCGCTAGTTTCTTCTTCCTCACTCTTCAGTGAGAGCTGTTTCTTGTCTTGCAAGTATCTCTTTGTTGTCAATGATGTTGGTTTCGAGGAGGCTTGAGCATTAATCTTCTTATGGAGCATCATCTTCAACAACTGTAATTTGATTTGATCAGAGGTAGATATTAAAAAAGATATTTACACTACGAATTTGAAATTCGTTCCTAGTTTACCTTCTCCATTCTTGATTCTTGAAGCGTGTCTCTCAAGCTAGGGCTTGGGGCTGTAGAAATCCCATCTGCGCAGACAAAAATCTTCTTGAAAAGATATGAGACAGAGTTCTTGCTTATGTCTCTCTTCTTCTTGTTATTCTTACTCTCTATTGATATCTCTTTGCATCTACCTAGAATAACGTTAATCGTTCGCTCCATATCTTCCTCCTTATTCTCCTCTGACGAATCCACAACAGCGCTAAGCGCATTGCTGATTCGCCTATCCACCTCTAAACTCGATGGACAGTTCAAGAATCTATCTAAAGGAAGATTTTTCATGAGCTCTCTATTCACATCAGACTTCCTTTTCTTAGTTCTTGACAAGAGCTTCATCAACTCTTTCTGCAACTTTCCAACCTCTTCAGGAGTGAAATCCTCAAGATTGACAGAGGAAGAAGGCTCTTCTTCTTGCTCGGATTGTGCCGTACACTTCTTCTCCGCTTCAATCTCTTCATGAACATTCTTGCTCTCGTTTTCGCTCACACTATTGCTTGTTGTACCGAATGTTCCAATAGCAAGCAGCGCGTGAGGCCAGTCGCTAAACTCCTCTCTTGGTTCTTGCTTCACATGATCTAAAAGACAAGATGCAAGACAGCAAAATAATTTCAGATCAAAGACAAGAATCTTGTCAAAATAAGGTACAACGAGATATAATACAAGCAAATTCTACGAGACAAGAATCTCGGGGCATTGTTTACACATATCCCTAGTAGACAATATAATCTTGAAGTTAAGTTTTAATGAAAGTAAGAAAAAAACTTACGAGAAGAAGCAGAGGAAGTGCTTGTTCTGTTATGATCCCCATTAAGCTTGTTCTGCATCCACCCGAAGAACTGAAAACAAAAGCCAGAAGAAAACACTTGAGAAATCATCTGAGAAAAAAGTCAATGATCGAACTAAACACAATGGATTAGAAAACTAACCTTCATGTTTCTTTTTTTCTGACAATTGTCTGTAACAGAGAGATCAATGTATATATTTCTCAACTCGAGTTATTGATGAATCAAGATTGGTTATTATAGTGATCAAAAAAGATTAGATTTTTAGACAAGTTGGAGTAAAATTGATGAATTTTATGGTGTTCAAGTTCCAAACTTTGACTACTTAAAAGAGAGAATTTTAAGTAAGAAAAAAACTTTTAAACTGTTCTTGTAAGTTTGTGTTCAGATGTTATCTCACAGTTGCTTCTTTATACAACTCACAAACCCACATTAATGCACACATCCCCACGTAAGCAAACGAGTCCACCAACATTCTTCTATGGCCCATAAATTAATTGTATTACCATTAAAAGTTTAAGCCCCAAAAAACTTAGTTAATTAATTGTTAACCCATGTATCGGAGAGAACGTCACGGCTTTGATCTCGGCTCATACACAGTGGAGCCAACTCAACGATATATAGACTAAAGTTCGATCTGTTTTTACTAGTTGAATCCCTAGAAATTCATTACATTCAATGGTTACTATGGTGACACACGGACACGGAGAGGGTTCTCATGAATTTTGTTAATTACATATATAATATGAACTTGTTGGGACTAGTATTCACATTCCTTTTTTCGTTTGCTCTTCTCTTTCTTTTTTTCACTTTTATTTTGTTCGGTCAGATATTAATTAGTAACTCAATTTATTGTCGATTGAATAAATGAAATTGTGTTATCTGATTCTAATCCAAAATTCTTATATTTATAAGGCTTTAGTCTCTTCTTAATCTGTAATCGAGAAAGTTGGAGAATAATTATTCTGTAACATTGTGTAATATTGGTTTTGGAGAATGCATTTAACCTAGACGGATAACATTTATGTCAATTCAGTGTCATAACTCATAACATACAATGATACAAACTAAACGTCAAAGATAGTAGAGTATAGACAAGCCGGTTAAATCCAAGTTTAGGAAGATCGACTATGCAATGTATTATTGCTCGCCAATTATGTATCCACTATAGTCTTATAGAATATGGGAAAAATTATTAAAATTGGAAAATTAATATAGAAGCTATGTTCTTTTCAAAGAATGAATAGAAAATCCAAAGGAAAAGAGTCAGAAAGAAAGAACGAAAAAAATAAGGAAAATCCACGAAAAGATCTCGTGTCGATGTCCCCTTAAGTCTTTAACCCTTATATATTAGGGCAAATAGTTTTTCAATCTTGTAACTTACATCAAAAAAAAAATACAAACTATTGACTAATATCCATTGCTTAGCTAATCGCCACTCAAACTTGCATGAAGTTTGAAAACCCAACGTAAAAACAAAAGCTATTGAGTTTTTTTAAAACTCTCGAATTCTTGAGTTCTTTTTCTACTCTCGATTATCTAGACTATGAGATCTAAGTGTATATTTAAACGTATTAAAGTATACATTTTTACGTACTGAAAAAAGAGTTGAGAAGTAGACAGTAGACAGATGGAAAGTGAAATTTTATAAATAAGAGTAAAAAAACTAAACCACTGAACGCTTTTTCGTTTATGAAGAAAACGTTGTGGGCCAACCTACACCACTCCAAATCACGTACAATATCCAACCAAAGATCGCCATGTCATACACACGTAAATGGCAGAGGAATAATATGTACACGTGTCTGAGAACAGAGGCTATTTTGGCAATCTTCTGTCGGTCCAAATAGGTCGGGTTGACTTTTAAAGGCCATTACCATATTTTAGATGCGAGTATAAAAGTTTAAAAAACATTTTTTTAAAAAAATTAGTGTATATGATATATATCTAGTATCTATTTATTAGACAAGTATCTTTTTTTTTGTTAAAATTTATTAGACAAGTATCACTATCAAATAACGTAACAAATCCAAGAGATTCAGATTCTCTTAGTTTTAAGGAGTTCCGGATTTTACATTTTGATAGTCAATGGTTAAGAAGCACATTTTCTTATGGTTTCAAAAGGGGTTGTTTAGTAGCGAAATCGCATTCAAAATGTGTTTTTAAGAAAAGATATTATTATTTGTAGTAAGCAAAAATGTGTGTTTAAATTGGTATATTGATTGAATACATGACGATATGTTTAAACGGAGTTGTCTCGTGAAATAATCTTATATATAAACGTAGTTGTCTCATTATTACTCATGAACGATATACAGTAGATCATTTTTCGTTAACATAAAATTTTATGTATTTGAAAACTCTCATTTAGTTTAGCATCGAAATACTTTCAGTTTTCTGCGAACATATATATATATATATATATATTCGGATCTAGTGGATTCTGATTCCAGATATTAATTTTAGTGTTTCATTTTTGTAATCAATTAATAGATAATACATCTTCGCAATATCCATAGTAAAAAATTCATCCCACCTCTATGGATCGGTCAACTTGCTTACAAGTACAAGATGTGTAAGTAAAATAAAATATAAAATGATCATCACTTACCAATAGAATTTCATGTTACCGAATGAAGTGACATCATTGGATAGCAAACATTTTCTTGGTCTCCATGAAACTTTGTCATTTACTCCAACTTGCTCTCCCACCTTCTCCTCTCTTTTTTTTTCTGATCACTATCTTAAACCATTTGATAATTACTTACAAGTATCTTTAACAAGATCGAGACTAACTAAATGCAAAGTTACACATAAATCCGAATGTTTCTAGCGACAAAACACTGACACGCACACAGAATTGATTAAAAATGTAGTTAATTAAGAATAAGTGGGGACATTGGGACAAGAATTAGGATTAGGGACCACTTTAAACAGTGATTAATATGTGGTTCATAGACTTAAGACGTTGCCTAAACTCTTGTGAATTGTCATTTAACACAAAATCTAGGGAGTTCTTAAGTTGTCTTTGTGATTTTCAAACAGTACACGTGTTAAGCATCTAAATTCTTTAATTTTACTCCATTTTAGAAGCATATGTATTTCTTTTAGGTGGCTGGAAATATATATAAAATAAAATTTATTATGTTGTTAATAGGTGCTCAATCGTCACGCAATTCGTCAGAATTGACTTATATCTTAATTAGTTAAGTGCCCACACGTAATAAATAATAGATTAAGATCCTTCGAATTAAACAGAAACCATGTTGTTAAACCGAACCAGCGTATTACTGTAAAACCTATTTAGTTGATGGCGAGGTTCTTTTTAATCGTTACTTAAATCTCTTAAAAGAATACGAGTTTGAAATCTAAACCTATTAGTTGATATAGGGGTGTCAAAATAGGTAACCCAACTCAATTTAACTCATAATCATCTAAATGAGTTATAGGTTGACCCAACCCATTTAATAAAATGAGTTGCGTCAACCCATAACTCATTTAATTTGATGGGTTGAGTTGTTAAACGGTTTAACCCATTTACGTAATAATTTAATTAATAATTATTATAAAACAATAATAAATAATTATAATTATTAATAATTATTAATTCATTATCAACAAACTTAGAATATTTACGGATTCTAATTTTTATAGGTTTACGTTTTCGGCGGGAAAATTATGGGTTTACGTTTTTGGCGGGAAAATCACGGGTTTACGTTTTTGGCGGGAAAATTATAGGTTTATGTTTTTGGCGGGAAAATCACGGGTTTACGTTTTTGGCGGGAAAATTACAGGTTTATGTTTTTGGCGGGAAAATCACGGGTTTACGTTTTTGGCGGGAAAATTACAGGTTTACGTTTTGGCGGGAAAATCACGGGTTTACGTTTTTTTGCGGAAAAATTACGGGTTTACGTTTCTGCAGAAAAATCACGGGTTTACGTTTTTTGGCGGGAAAGTTACAGGTTTACGTTTTGGTGGGAAAATCATGGGTTTATGTTTTTGGCGGGAAAATCACGGGTTTACGTTTTTGGCGGGAAAATTACAGATTTACGTTTTTGGCGAGAAAATCACGGGTTTACGTTTTTTTGGCGGGAAAATTACGTGTTTACGTTTCTGCGAGAAAATCACGGGTTTACGTTTTTTGGTGGGAAAATTACGGATTTACGTTTTGGCGGGAAAATCATGGGTTTATGTTTTTTGCGGGAAAATTACGGGTTTACGTTTTTGGCGGAAAAATCATGGGTTTACGTTTTTGGCGGGAATATCACGGGTTTACGTTTTTGGCGGAAAAATCATGGGTTTATGTTTTTGGCGGGAAAATTACGGGTTTATGTTATTTGGTGGAAAAATTACGAGTATACTTTTTCTCAATTTCATCGCTTGTATATTTAAGAAATTTGGAAAAAAATGATTTTATTAAATTGGTTTAGATGTGTTGGTTAAACTTAAATTGACATTGGTTTAGAGATTTTAGTTGGTTTAATTCAATTTTACAAAACTTGATGGGTTAATTGGGTAAACCATTAACCATTATAACCCAACTCATTTTACTCATTAAACCAATTGACTTAATAACTCATTTGACCCATAAACTCATTTGAGTCAAAATTTTCAACTCATTAGGATTCATGGGTTGAGTTGAGTTGAGTTGACCCATGAATTTTGAGCCATTTTGACAACCATAGTTGATGCTATCATTTTGCATTCTCCGTTTCAAATGAAACGACAATAGCAAACTGAATTCGATACTACAACATTATTTTCGTGTCGTGATGCAATGTTAAAGAATTTAGATGAATACACTTGTGAAGATGACATTTTCAGTTTGAAGTAATAATTATTAATTAGTGATCTCCATTATCGCAGGACAATAGATATTAATAGCCTCTTTTTACACTATCCAAATGAAAATGATACTTATGTTTAGAGTTTAAAAGAAACTGTGATCATTGACTATAAAGTTAGATTATGATTGGAACCGATAAAAGACTTATAAAATAATTGTAGTGTCTATAATTGTTTACATAATAACTTAAAATGTGTATAATGCAATCAAAATTACAAAAAAAAAAAAAGGAAACATCACTATATTTAATGAATTTTTTTTATCATAGTAATATTTGTATAAATTTATAGGAATTATTAATTTTTGATATTTTTGAGGTCATATATACATAGGAGTTTTCTTATTATTTCTAACTGTGTTAACTTTAACATTAACGTAACTCGAAGCTAAATATATTTACTACTTTATTAGTAGGGAAGTCTAATCCGGTTTGGATGTAGATTATACATTTATACCTACAGTATTAGTATTTGTTGGTTTTTGTTGAATGTATGTATGTCTCGTATAGTGTCTTGATTCATTTGGTCATTGTACATTAGTACTGATATAAACCGGTCTAAATTATTGTTGTTTCTGGCTAAGGGTTCCTGACCTCCTGTTTATTAAAAGCCGAGTCCATATACTTAACAAACCGCACCATCTACAGGTAACATGTCTCAGAATTAGTGAGAGTAAGTTTAAAAACTCTTCAGTTTGGTTTTTGGGTTGATTTTCAAATTACACTGTTTCAGCTCAACGCTTATCAGCTTAACTGGTTTGGACACTAAATCTTCCAATGATGAATACCGAACCGGTAACGTATCAGCCAATTCCTACTCGTCACTCTGGTCGTCAATCACAGAAAAAAGTTTTAGTTTATTATTAAAGAGCGAGGGAAAGAGAGGAAAACCTCGAGATCACAAATTCACTAGAAACGAAGAAAGACGGTAGAAGAAGAAGAAGAAGAAATCACGTGAGTATTGTTGGTGACCGAGACGAGGCCTTTTTGTGTTTTGAATCGTTTCAGTCACTTAATAAGATTCCTATATTCGGAAAGCTTTCTACTTCGGGAAAGTTTTCCTTCTACGTTTTTTCTTTTCTTTTCAATAATTTATTTATTTTTTAGTTCTTGCAAAAAAATTCAGGAGTATGACCCATAAACTACTAATCTAATAGGCCTTTTCACATATTCCCCACTTACTTGGGCTAGGCCTGAGTTATGCAAAACTAAAAGTAAAGAAAAACAAAAATCAATGCATAAAGCTTCGGCTCTATCTAAAGTACATTTTCTGATGTGTCAATGATTGAAATTTTTGTGATATGATAGTCTTAACATAGTAGCAAACCACAAAAAGGTCGATCCAAATCAAAACTATCAAGCTATATGAAACAATGTATCTGATTAATTGATTATAGATAAGATAAAACCAACAGTTACAAGATTACAACAAGACACCATGGATAAAGAAGCTGTATTGGTGTTTCTTATAGTTCGTCATGTTGTTGTGTAGCAATGTCACCTGCCATTACAATGGGGTTTGGTTGGTCAGTGATCATAAGTCATAACAGATAATACTTGAATCGAGGAAAGAGGTAAGAGTTTAAGAAGTAATATAGGGGGTGAAGAAAATAAACCTGAAACTACATCCTTGAAGAAAAACTTTATCTCTCTTTCAGCTGACGATGTTGAATCCGAGCCGTGCACACAGTTCTTCTGTGAGTTCTTACCACATAATGCTCTGATGCTACAGAAACAAGAGAAGGCCATATTATAAGTAAATAGGATCAAAGAACAACCTAATGATTCATAACAAGTCAGAGAACGATTTCAAGTAATACAGCTTACGACTATATTCATCTTAGCCCTCACATTTGAGTTTGCAAAGTCAAGAATTGTGTTTGGCAACAAATCGAACCTGTGAGGGTGAGATATCTTAGCCTTTTCCGCATCTGTTGGACCGATTAAATCACGCCAATCAGAAACTGCATTTCGCTTCTCCAATACCATCACCAACACCGGACCACTTGTTTCAAAGATACAGTTTACACACATTAGCAAATGCAGACATAGCAGAGATTGCGGAAGAATTATGGCAAGCACACTAAACAGAACTTACCAACCTCGTCATGTATGTAACAAGATGAGGAAAAAAGCTCCTCGATGAGTGCTCCTCGTAAAACGCAGAAGCTGTCTCCTTGTCCAGCTGAGTAAGCATCTCCTTGACGATATTGAAACCAGCCTCAACGACGATCGTTTTGATTTCTTCAGTATAGTTACCAGAGACTCCATCTGGCTTTATCATAGCCAATGTTCTCTCTTCACTACTTGCTCCATAACCTAAACACCTAACAGTTTTATCAATAAACCCTAATCGGTGAAAAAAATTGGAAGGCAAGCAACTACAAGATTCATCCGGGAAGTATTAATTTAGATTCAGAGCGAGAGAGAAGTTATCAATTGGATTGAAACTCAACTCTCAGATCCATTGCAATTGAGTTCACAGACAAACCGATAAGGTCGGATTATTCATACTAAGGAAAACAATAGAACCCCTAGAATTTCTCGCTCACCTGACCGGCGACAAGGAGACAGAGGCGAGAAGGAGGAGGAACAATAGTTGATATGTGATTCCTGACATTGACTTGACCGGAGAACACAAATTCGGCAACCTATCAGACGAATTAGGACGATGTAACCCCGAAATTTATGAAAGCCGGAGGAAAATTGTGTTCGGAGAAGCTAATGTCGTCGAGTTTGCTCCTCCTGCCGGAAAACTCTGAAACGCGCGTTTAACGTCGACTTAAAAGGGCTAAAACCCGAATCTTATATAATCTTATATAATCAAAGCCATTTTTGACAAAAAAAAATATATATATATATATTTAAGTTTGGGCCTATCAACATTTTTTAAAAAATATTAGGGCCCGATTGATAATAACTGTTAGGCTGTCGAGACAAACACTCTTATTTTTATTATATATTTTTTAAAAAAAATATAAATTATGCTAAAAAATAAATATGTTTGGTAATATAGGGGCAAAATAAATTTGTTAATAAGAAAGTTTTCAAAAAAATTTAAATTCATAAATAAAGAAATACTGTAGTAAATAATTTCAGCAAATAAAAAGAAAAAAAAAATCATATAAAGATACAGTTTGGTTATTATTATTAATTTTTAATTAACCAACTAGATATTGTACTTAACTAAAACGTCTCACTGATTTCGTACACAGATATTGTACATCGATTACGCTGGCAAAGATATTTTTAGTTAGAAAATGCTTTTATGGCTAAAACATGGAAATGTGGATGATTTTGCCAAATGGTAAAGATAAAACATGATCTTAAGGTCTGGCCGTAATTAAATTACCCATTTAAAGAAATGGATCGAGTTTTGATTTGATTTATTTTTCACATTCTATCAAAATGGATCTAGTTTTGAACAAATTCAACTTCATATTCAAAGTGCCTATCTAAGACATAAGCATAACAAGACATATCATTTATTAGTTAGTTACGCTATAATAAATATTATTTTCTATTTGAGATTAAGACATTACTCAAGTTTAAATGCTGCAAAACTCGTTTTTTGAATCTAACAAATATAATTTGAAAGAAATTTTTTTTTTTTGATAACTCAGTGTCCAGACCACACAGTGATCTGACTAGTCCATTGGGCCGAAACCCGTGATCAGGGATTTTTGAG